TGGTGATTGTTGAATTTCTGATGGAACTCAATCAGAGATTGTAGGTTTTCAGTCCAAATGATGAAGATGTCATCGATATATCTTAAGTATAGCAAGGGTTTGATGGTGCAGTTCTTGAGGAAGTCTTCTTCCAGGTGGCCCATAAAAAGGTTGGCATACTGTGGGGCCATTTTAGTGCCCTTAGCTGTTCCCATCATCTGGAGAAAGTGTTGATTATTAAAAGTGAAATTGTTATGTGTGAGGATGAAGTGTATAAGGTCAGTAATATCTTTGGGTCTGTATTCTGGGTTGTAATCTTGTTCCTGTAGATATGTAAGGCAGGCTTGGATGCCATCCTGGTGTGGGATGTTGGAATATAGGCTGGTTACATCCATGGTGGCTAGGAGTGTGTTGCTGGGAAGGTGGTCTATGTTTCCTTTCTGTTTAGTACCCCAGCTCTGTGCAAGTCCATTCATAGAACCTGATGAAGTAGACTATAGCCTATGAAAGCTTATGCCTTTCTGAATGAGTTAGTCTTTTAGGTGCCACTCTATTCTGCCTGATCCTGACTGAACACACTCAATTCCCATTGAAGATTGGATGGAGAAAGCACTCAGCACCTAACAGGAGTCTTTCAGTATCTCACAGGTCCTGAAGTCAGCAAGACTTGAAGATGCTCAAAACACTGCATGATGACCTTAATGCTGTTCCCATGAGTACCAATGGCAAAACCCACATGGTCTTCATGGTGCAGGGTTGACACTCAGCTGGTGATCTGTCCCATTGGAGCTCCCTCATGCTATCAGCATGAGCTATGTTGTATTAACAGTGCTATCAATGTATGCCTGGGAGCTCAAAGAAGCATAATGGCTACTGTGTGGGGAGGATCCTGCTCTGCCCTTGTAACATAGGGTAATACCTATGAAGTACAATCTAGCCCTGTGTTTGTAAGCAGAATTCATACCATACAAGCTGAGATTGTAAACAAGTCCAGCTCTGGCACTTTGCACTGACTGACTGACTAAATGGATCAGAGAGCTATACCACCTTCCTGCTACCCCTCTCTTCTCTGCAGCCACACTGTACTTGGTGGAGTGAAGCATCCAAGCACTGACAGTCCTAATAAAGTCCCTGAGACTTCAAACCAGGCTTGAAATTAAGCAGATGAACATTCCTGAGTTTACATGCCTATCCTTCACCTCCTTGGTCAGCCCTAAAATGGAGATAATGAAGCTTCTTTACCTCACAAGGGTGTTAACAGGAATAATTAGTTAATATTTGCAAACTGTGTTGCAGATGAAAAGCCCTATAAAAATGTCAGAAACACTGTTGTTATGCAGATTCACTCAGCTACCTTTTCTGAACTAGGTGGGAGATTTATTCTGCTTTTATTCCTCAAGTATTCAGTTGCTTAAATCTTGCCTTTATGCTGCCAAGCAAGCATATAATGTGGATATTTAACTGTGGAAACACAACTGGCCTTTAGCTGGTATCAGAGAAGCAGGAAAGCCTGAGCCTTCTAAATGCTGACAGATTTGTCAGTATTGGAAGAAACAGACGGGATGGAATAGAAAAGATTAGAAAGGGGGAAATCTGAATCTTCTAGTTTGTAGTTAAAGAAAAGAGAAAAGATCCATTGTACATTTCCAGCAAAAAGTTTTCTTTTTCCTTGATGTAAAAAACATCAGCTGGTTTCATTCTGGCATAAGAATGCTTACACGTGAGGACATTTTTAATTGGTCACTTAAGCTTAAATTGGCTACACTATTATTATGCTAATTTAATTGTTTTCCCTTTTCAGGGACCTCAGGGGCCTCCAGGACAAAAGGTATAGTATAAACAACAATACTGTGAAAGTGATTATATTTCCTAGTGCTAAACTGCAAGCAAAAGAGGTGAACAGAATTAGCTACTGTACGTCACATAAAAGCAGTTACTTCAGTCTGTGAATTTTGTTTTCCCAAAATACAACTACATAATGTAAGATGTAAGATTTCTAAATTCCCCCACTATAGGAAGTTCAGGCAGTGCCGAGCTGACTGTTTTCAATCTGTCTACTGAACTTGCAGGTTAAAACGGCACTATAATATTCTCATTCAAGTACTGGTATAACTATGAAACCAAAGTTAAAACATTGTGAAAAGTGGGGGATAAAGTTTCAGATTGAATGCCTGTCCTTACTCAAGTAGATCAGTGCCATATGACCAAAAATTTGACCAAAGAAACAAAGGATGGAGGTGTTGCTGATAAATGGTGTTTGGTTGGTTGTATTCAGGTGGCCCACCGGTGTCTTCCTGTTTCCACGGTAACTTGAGAACTGATTTCCTGTAAATGCTTTCAGCATTATTTATACTCAGCAGAACTGACTGCTGTAGTTTGATGGAGTGAACCAAGGATTTATGGAGCTTCACGTTTAGAACAATACAAAATATATCAGTAATAAAACTAGTAGATGGCATTTTGCCAGCATCTCGCCCAAATACCACAAAAGCCAAATTGTCTGAAAAGTGATTTCAAAAGATAAAAGGTGGTGTAGAGAGCTTTTAATAAAGTTTGCTTAATACTTAAAAAGAAACTAAAGAATGAATAATTAGCATTATCACAGGTGGGAAAGTTATTGTCCTCCCATATTTCGATCTCTGAAACTATCACAAGCACAGCATTCTTTTGGCATCTGTTAAACCAAAACCTTTCAAACAAAAGAAACTAAAAGCTATTGATATGCAAGGGCTTGTTTTAGCACTATTCAGAATGATGAGAGTTTTTTTCTTAAAGGCAGGGTAAATTCTTAAGATGAAAAGGAGAGGAGCATTGCATGTTTAGCACTGTCAGAGTGTGAAATTGTAAAGCTGCGCTTGTTCCCATGTTGCCAATATAAAAACCCTCCTTCTGACTTGGGAGGCACTTTATTACTAGCATGATAAACCTCAGTAAAAACCTTTGCATGATATTCTTTAAAAATCAAATACGTTTGCTTTATTAAGCATATGCAAAGTTAGCCCACTTTCAATCTGTTTTGTTCATGAAGTTTATCATCTTTTAGTCTCATAAGATAAAGGTGTGTAACAATATTGACAAAAGAAAGTTCCATAATAAAAGAAGAGTTTATGGACAGCCTGATGATGTAACTCCCCTGTGAGCTTGTGCCTTTCCCCTCTTGCTTTTTGAGAGGAACAGTAAAGGCACTGACAGACATGCACTCCCTGCTGTAACTCATAGCGCTTTGCAGGAAGCGCCATGAGTTACAACGATCCCCTGGACCCAACAGATGTTTGTTGTTGGGTCCGGGGGGTTGGGGGATCAAACTGCAGTCTGGAGTAGCTGCATGTTTGCAGCCATTCTCCCTTAGCCCAGCCCACCCCCTTCCCAGACTATTGTCAGAATAGGGGGCGGGGGGTAGAGATGAGAGGGAGCTTGGTCTGGAGCTTGCCCAGCCTTCACTAGAGGGTGGGGCAGGTGGATTGAAGCCCTCCAAAAAAACAGGAGCCACCAAGATGGGGGGTGGGAGGCACTCTAATACACCTGCCCCACCCTCCAGCACAGGCTTGGCAAACCCCAGACCAAGCTCCTTCCCCTCCTTTCCCTCCGGTCTAATTCTGAAGACAGCACTGGGGGTTAGGCTGGGCTGCTGCAGCCCAACCCTGCTCCTAGCATGCACTGAGGGATGTTAATGAAGGTGCTTAGGTTTGCAGCACTTTGACCTGAATCCTCATGTAATGAAGGTTCAGATTGTTGCACAATCAGACATTTTTAAAGCACTCTGCAGCAATGCACTTCTGTCAGTGCATGACTGTAGAGTGCTTCAGGGGCCAAATCACATGACAAACTGTCACTTCTGTCAGTGCCCTAAAAGTATATGAAAGTATTCACTGTTGGCCTTTATTCCTGGTTAGCATTCATGCTCTTGCATCAGGCAGCAAACAGGCTGATTCAAACAATGCTGCCAAGTCTGCAAACTCAGAGGTGTTTCCATGACCTTGGGACCTCACTTCACCAAGGACAGGTTGAAATACTAGTATGGTATTTCTAGATAAGGTTGAAGTGGCATGTGATATGGAAAGCAAAGTTTCTTAGTTCTGCACAGCTCTATGTTAAGTAGAGCTGGGGGCCTCCTCAGAATTCAAGATGCTCTTCCTTTAATTGCAGCCCTGTCTGGGGGCACAGGTTTCCACATACTCTTATTTAATCAGACTATTCCATCCATTTTTCTCATAATCCCATCTGTCCACCAGTGTTGGACATAATCCTTAATGGCTTCTTTGTCCCCTGACTTGTGCCATTGAGCTGAACCTCATAAGTGATATAAACATCTGACTGGAGGATAAAATACAGCACACTGATTCTTTTGTCTTGTATAGAGTAAACCTGGTTGAATGGCTTTATAGAGAGCCCCACATTTATTTGAAAGGGGGCTGGGCAACAGTTTGCCATGTCCTTGTTGATTCCTCCACTTTTCCCCCTTCATTTTAAAACAAGCCCGTTTCAACAGATATTTAGACCTTCTGATCTAGATTCATAATGTACTTAAAAATGAAAAATAAACTGATGGTTTCAATTTACTTTTGTACTGTAACTTGTGTGTGGGTTAAAAAAAAGGAGAGAAGAGAGGCTGCTATGTCAGCAGATACTATACTGATGCTTTCCTGTACCCCTGAGTGGTCACATAAAATCCATATTGACAGTTGTACAAAATATAACAAAAAGACTGTGCATCAGAAAGAAGTTGGAATTTATGCTAAAGCTTTGTAAAAAAAAAAAAAAAAAAAAATCCCTCCAATGTTGCCATTAAATTCTTTCTTCACATCTGCTTCGTGTTTGATCTATAGTGGTTTTTAAAATTTTGACTACAGTAAGTGACACTGATGCTGTATAAAAAGATGGCTATGGTTTGCAAAGCCAGACTGAATTATTACTACTTATCCCTTAAAAGCACTAAAGATAGATCAGTGCTACCAGTCATTGGATTTAAAGCTTGCCTCTCCATGTGAGCAGTTTTGATCACACAGGCACAAATACTAGATTTAGCGGAATCAGTCTTCATCTAGAGTGTTAAAAGGAATTGCATTTTAATTTCTTAATTCCTAGTGAGGCATTCGCAACCTAGCAATATAATCATTGATTTGAACTTGGGTAATGAAGTAGAAGACACTGAATAACCTAGTAATTTATAAACCTGACATTAGGACACTTTTAATTAATGCATAAGGTCAAGTGGGAAAGAGATAAAAAATTAACAAAAAATAGCACTAGTAGACAACCGTTGATGCTTCTGGATCATGATGTATGCATGAGAGGTCACCAGAACCTTCAATGTATATGCCTAGGTAGGAGTATGGAGGAGTAGAGGATGCCCAGACCTTCCATCTACTCTTTAGGCCACTGATACAATATCCAAAGGCCAGACAAGTCTAGATATTCAGTGCCTCAGTGGCTGTAGCATGTCCAGGAGTCAAACCCAGGTCTTCTATGTGGCAGACAAGGATTCTACCACTGAACTGCAATAGCAGGTAAACAAAAAATACTATACTTAAAAAGATATATTACACTTAGGACACATATGTTCAACATAATTCTTTAAAGTACTGTATTTCAGAGCTGAAATGTTTTAAAATTGCTTTGTTTGTTTAACTTGCTAAACTTAAATATATGGTTCCCACCAGGGGTCTCTTGGAGTGCCTGGTATTCCAGGAAAGGACGGGCAAATGGTGAGTTCAATGGAAAATCTTTTAGTCTTCTTTTTTCAGCATTGAATCTGTTAAATTTACAGTCTGGCACTGAAGAAATAAATTAATATAATTCCAGAAGTCAATTACAGCTTGTCCACATTAGAAATGGAGCTATCAAAAGTGTGATTTTCATTGAATTGTGTTAAAATGATGCAAAACATTGAAAAATCTTATTTTGGGGAAAGAGGACTAGGAGCAATGGCCTCAAACATAGTAGAGGAAAGTTAGGTAGGAGATTAGGAAGAGCCTTCTCACTGCGCGGGTAGTCAAGCATTGGAATAGGCTACCTATGGAGCTTGTGGAATCTCCATCTCTACACATTTTCAAGAGCGGGTTAGACAGGCTCTTGACTGGGATGGTTTAGTAGGGGGCTGGACTAGGAGTATGTACAGGAAGGTTAGGGGGGAAATCAGTCATGTTAAAAATGGCTACCTCATCTAACTTATTTCGCCCAGGTGCAGACCCCACACTTAGATCCCTAGTTAAGTCAATCTAAGTGCAACCTGTACAGACTTCAGGAAGGTTAGATTGGTCTAAAAATGGTTGACCCAATCAAAGTTAACTGTACCTTGGAGGTAGTCTAACTTAGATTGAGTCTGGCAAGACTGATCTAATTGAACTTCTGTACAGATCCCAGCATAGCCATGGGACTATGAAAGCCCAGCTGCTGGCCCCAGCCCTAAGTGGGGCTGCACTTTTCTTCCCCCTCCCCCCTGGCACTGGGCTATTTTTAGTGCCCCCACCAGGCCCTTGCCCCACCTCTAGATGGACAACACCCCACTCCACCCCATAAACCAGCCAGCCCCCCTGAGCCTCCCAAACTCCCCCATCCCATAGGCCACTCCTGGTGCTAGTTTTATCAGCATTCACTGGTGCTGGGAGATGTGGAAGTAAGTCAGTGTGAGGGGAGGGGCAGGAAGGATCAGGGGAGGGTTGATTTGTGGGGGGGCACTGTTCATCTAGGAAGGGTTGAGGGGCTAAAATTATACTCTGGTTCTGTGAGGCTAGAGAGCACCCACCCCCCCCAGCCTCCCCACAGACCTCGATAGCCCTCCTGATGCCATCAAACCCTCCCAGACCCCACCAACCCCTTTGCAGACCTCATTATCCTCCCCTGCCAGTCCCCCCCCCCCCCCGTCCCCCACCGAACCCCCAAACCCCCCCCTC